GAACCAGCCGCTTGTTCATTTCACGAATGGGCAGCACGTTTGACCGAGGTGCGTATCTCGAGCGCATCAAGTTGTCGGACGCACCGACGGACGCGTCGCTGGCGTTCTTGGACACGTTGCTCCAGCACCACCGGCAATCCATTCCGTTTGAAAACCTGGCCGTGTGTGGAGCGTTCCCAGTCAGTCCCGCCCACGTGGAAGATGTTTCTGTCGAGCGTGTATCTCTCGACGCAGACAAGATCTTTCAAAAGTTGGTCGTCGACAACCGAGGAGGCTACTGCTTTGAACAAAACGCACTCCTCGCCGCGGCACTGCGGGCGTTTGGATACACAGTCGACACGCTCAGCGCCAGAGCCCTCTTCCCGATTGCGTCCACTGACCCGGCAGCGCCTCCAGCATTCGAGTTTACTGGCCTCATTCACATGATCCTGCTCGTGACTGTTCATAATGTTGTGTACGTGGGCGACATAGCATCCAACGAGATTTAGCTTGAATCGTTAGGTACCTTGTCGACGTCGGGTTTGGTGGCCGAGGCCAGCCACCCGCGGCTCTAGCGCTGAACGAAAGCTCTCTCGTTCAAGCCAAGGGGGGGGAAGTGTACCAAATGAAGCAAGTGCAAATTGTACGGGATTTGAATCTTCCCAACACGTACACGGGGGGATTCCAACTGGCCGAGCCAGGAAATGACCTGTCGACTCCAACCTTGTGGGCGCTGTACTACAAAGCAAAACTGGACGATGAGTTCCGAGTGAGCTATGTTTTCTCTTCCACGGATTCCATGGCCCACGCCGACTACTTGCCGTCCAACTGGTTCTGCTCGACTAGCCCCAAGAGTCCACTGGCCCCCCATGTCGTGTGCGTGTTGCGGACCGAAAGAGGTCTCAAATGCGTTCACGGCATGACGTTCAAGCACTTGGAATGCGGAGAATGGATCGAATCAACGACGTTAGAATCGAAAGAAGCGCTCCTGGACGTGCTGAAGAGCCACTTTGGCCTTGTACCTCCAGCACATGACTCGGTCTGAGCACGGCTCAACGTACGGTCAGTCAAGGAGTGCATTGAGATCTCTTGTTCGAATGTAAACGCCCAAAATCGCTTACTCTACCCCACGTTTGCATTGGATGAAGCAGGCAACTTTGTCGCGAGCAATGCCACCATCGTTGGCCAGAGGCCAAGTGAACATGCAAAACAGGTCCACCCTGCCACCATAATGCGAGTCAAATGGACGTGAAAAGAGTCGTTTTACGGCAATGGAGGAAGAGGTGCGGGGTAGAGTGTGCGCGAAATGCCGCAATCGTTATCCAACTCGCCCATGCGACTCTTGACGGCCACGTCCTGGTACGCATCCCCGCCCCCTGCAACCTCTACCTGCGGTGGTACGATATTCATTTTGAACTTGAGGAGGAATGGAATACAAGTTGGCGACTCGGGGGGTGTTCTCGGCCGAGCCTCCAGTCGACTACTCGTGCGTCTGTGTGTGTAGCTGATGCCGGGCACACAATTGTGCTTGCACACTACTCAAAAGTCTGGGGTCGACAGAGTGAATGCGTGAGGCGGCAGGAGTGTGTGTGGAATCGCGCGATGGCTTTATCTCACACATGTCAAGTGTCTAACCTCGTTTGTGTATGACATACAAACCTCAAGTGAATTCCGCTGTATGCAATGTGGGCAGGCACGTAGCAGGTCGGTACGATGACGCATGAAGCTGCCTCTGGAATTGCCATCGAGGTCGCCGTTGTGGACACGGCAAGCCGACGGTCATGACCACTGGCGCAAGACAACAGAGGGGCAAGACGTGTTGCGGGGGTTGCCTTCATTTACGTCAGCCTTCCAGAGCAGCCATGCTTCCATACCGCCTGTGCGAACGCATGTGGCTCCAAAGGACCCAGTGATGCGAGTCGAAACTTGAACGGGAAGGCTCGTCACAACGGCCACGACGTGCACGGGATCAAAACGTCTGTCTCACATGGCGGCCAGAGGTTGGGTCACTAAGGGGACGGTGCAGTTTGGGACGAGGCGGATGGCTCCAAAGTGGATGAAGATGTGGAGCAGCAGTGTATATGGTGTTGTGTGCGACAGCTTGGGGTCGGATTCGAGCGGGAGGCGAGACACGTTGGGTTGGGTTGAGCTGTCGTGGAAAGGCCGCCAACCAGTGGATATGATGCAACGATTGAAGCTTACCGCCCTTGCGACAATGAACCTTGGCGCTGGTTCTCTATGCATCACGCACAAAGAGACGACCTGGTGCCCGAGTCTGGCGTGGGTTCCAAGCGCGGGATTGCTCGGTCGTGTACCCGTCAAGGAACGTCTCACCGCCCGCGACTCCACGACGGCGGAACTACACTTGAACCCACGCATCGATCGCTGCGTGCCTTTGTGTACAACACGTTGTCGTATCTGTACACCGCAGTGGCATTGTACGGCCCCCCTACAACGGAACGTGGCTCTGCTTGGCAAGTGTTGCTCCTTTTCGGCCCGCACGAGTCAATGAAACCCATGCGAACTTCCTCCGACTCTGTCGTGGCCGCCATGGGCTGCGAGTGGGTTTCCGGGCGTCAAGTTGGCCAAAGGCACATCGTTTTGCATGATACATGCAACTTGTAGTAAATAGGGACTAAATTAGTTTGATGTCTACTTGACCAACGTCGGCATGGGCGCATGCTGCCGCTTGCACTGGGATTCGTAGTCGTCGGACTCGTAGATGGTTCGCAGCGGGGCCGTGACAACGACGGTTTTCATTTTCATGGCGCGGCGCTCCTTCTTGACCATGACTTTGCTGAACGGGACCGCTTTCCCCGCCACGACCTCCTTTTCGACCAAGTGGCGCTGGAGCGGTTGGACGGGGGGTTTGATGTGGCGATGAAACTTGAGGGGAAGCAGGTTACACTGCGTGTCGTGGTCCTTCAAGATTTCCTTGATCTGTGTGATTTCGTCCGCGAACGGCCCGACTTGCGGCTTTTGATGCTTGGCCAGCCACTTTTCTTTGAGCTGGAGCAACGGCTGCTTGACTTGGACGACCATTTTGAACAATGGCGCGACGAAAACAATCGACGCCGGCGGGCCACGGTCGCCGCCACTGAAGCACCCTGTGTTCGTTTGGCCCCTGACGCCAGCGACATATCGCAGACGAGCCAGCGAAAACTCATTCGCGTGGACGCGGTAGAGGCCGGTCTCGTCGCACTTGACTGTGGGTTACACACATGGGCGCATCACATTTTTTTTCAGCGCCGGCCAACCAAGTCAAGGGCTGCATTGGATTGGCCGGCCATTGAATCTACTGCGCATCGTGACGGCGCCGTCGGGATGCGATCGTTACGTGATGTTGATCTCTCCCTCGCCTGCGGGCAGATGGTGGGGGCAATTTTTTGACGAAGAAAATATGGTATAGAGCGGAACTGGATATGTGTCGACCGTGACCAAGCTTGGAGGCTCACCAAGAGGGACTGCCGCCTGCAACCGACTTGGATAATACTCCGGAGTACCACGCCGCCAGCGCTTTCTCACGTCGGTTGAGGTTGGTTGCGACGAACACGTCGCCGACACGAGCATGGCCCACGTGCCGGAGCTGTTGGGCTCGACATGGCAGCACGCGCCTCGCTCCTTCCTGCACTTGTCCAACTCCGTTGCCATGGTCATCTGGACGGAGCAACGTGCCCATGTCATTGGAATTGCCATGCGCGTGAGGTGGTGTGTCGTCGACGGCATGCAGCACGAACACTTCAAACGTGGTCCAGGAACGACATCAGGTCCAATCGTTCGTCCATTCGTTTGGGCCAACCACGTCGAACGAATCGCTTCTCCGTGTGCATCGACGACGATCGTGTAGATTGTGCGAAAGGTGCGTCTTGGGTCGACCTGGTTTTTTCCAACGGTAGGGTGTTTGACAATGCGACAGGTTCATGTTGGCCGACGATGCGTCGTCAATATGGTATGCCGTCTGCATGGACAACGCTGCCGATGTTGGCTACAGCGCAAACTCGTGCGGAGAGAGGCCTGGCGGGACGTCTGCCGTGTCAGCAAGTTTTTTAATGGGGGATTGATATGGGGCGCTTCGCTTGTCCATCGATTCTTCTTGCCTTGGATGAGCCATCCATCAGCCAGATGCAACCGGTACGTCCATCCGTTCGCTTCCCCAGCATTCGACGTCCTAGTTGTGCCGATGCAACGCAGGAGAGGAGTGTTTGGAATGGCGTCATGTCTAGGCATGCCATCGTCCAAACAAGAGTGTTTGTTCATCTCACAAATTTTAAATTCGATTGAAACTTTGACGTGCAACACCTCAAGTATTTTAAAACAACAGAATCGGACCATCATTTCCTCCAAACGTTGACGCAATTGACTCGGCCACCGTCGACGGCGCAGCTGGTCAGGCGACTACAACGAAATTCGACCATGCATGCCCACTTTGACCTCGACGCGTACTTGACTCGCATCAACCTCACCGTACAAGAGTTGGCTGCTTCACCGACCCACTCGTTCGCGCAGCTGTCGTTGCTCGTCCAGCATCATCGCCTCGCCATCCCGTTCGAGAACCTCGCGGCGTGTCGAGTGTTTCCCGTCGACCCAGCCCACGCCGACGTGAGTATTGGTGAACGGGTGTCTCTCCACCCGGCTCGAATATTCAGAAAGCTCGTGCTGGATCGTCGAGGTGGCTGGTGCTTTGAACAGAACGCGTTGTTGGCGACGGCCCTTCGAGCTCTGGGCTACGCCGTGGAGACAATTTGTGGCCGCGTGATCGCGCCAGCCGTGGATTCGACCAAGGGCAAGTACCTTGCCAAGGCAATGACGCACATGTTGCTTCTCGTGACAATCGACACGAACGAACAGTTTCTGTGCGATGTCGGATTCGGAGCGCGCGGCGAGCCGCCCATTCCCATCCGTGTGTCGCCCACATCTACTAAGACAACCATGGCCTCTGGGGAATCGTACGAAGTTGGACTGGCCAATGTGGTTCGCCATATGCACGCAGACACGTGGACGGGCGACTTTTACGTCGATCCCTCGACCGCGCCCGACGACTTTTCCGCCACCGACCGGGTGCTGTGCTACCAGAAGGGGCCAACGCACCCCGTCTACCCCGTGTACGTGTTCTCGCCCGACGCGAGACTGGCGCATGTCGACTACGAGATGGCCAATTGGTACAGCTCGACGCACCCCCACAACCGGTTCACGCAAATCCCAATATGCACTAAACGGACGGTCGACGGATTCGTAAAGCTAGCAGGCAACGAATTCAAGGAAACCAGACACGGAGAGACCGTTCGGACCAACACCATCGATCCCGACGAACTGCTCGATTTGCTCAAGTCGACTTTCGGGCTCGTGCGCTCGACGTAGAGACATGCAATGCTCGCCTAGTTCGGTTGTCCTTGTGTGTCAACGAATGACTGCCAATGTGTGTGTGCACGGGATGAGTTTGTTTGTAAAGGGTGCACTTGGCAGGAGCATGAATGGCTCAACCTCATGGACACATTGCACACGCTCTGCCGCAGCACGAGAAAGCGTCGTCGTCGCATATGGATGTGTGGTAGCCACCCATTGGTTTGCAAGTGCCAGAGCCAAGCGCTGCACACGAGAGGACGAGATGATCGGTCGCGACGACAGCGCAAACCTCGACCAAGTCACTGGATCAGCGCTGGTCGATAAGCGTCCTCCGGTCGATCACACCGACCGATCTCTCACTCGCGACTTCTGTGTGAATATATTCGACCCTGATACTAGTGCACATTGAAGCGTCATGTTTGGGTCATATTATCTATTTTGAGAATTTGCTCGTGTCGCAGTAAACTTATTTGAGCGAAGTTTTGCTCAGGGGTGACACCACGCGATCTTTGTGAAGGAGATATATTGTATATGGGCATAATTTGAGCGAATTCCCTATATTGGTTGGCAGATCATTCCACGAAATTGTGCATGGTAGACAAATTCGTGGGCGTTCATTCTCCATATTGCTGCCTTGCCAACAGTCATGCCCCCATCCGCTCCTGGCCAAGTCACAGAAGTCACGAACTGCCCCCAAGTGCCGTCCTTCGCATTGGACTCCATGGACTCAACCTCGTTGACGCTGCGAGACTGCGAGAGCTGGTTTTGCCTTGCAGGCGCGTTCTACGTCATGTCCGTATGCTTGCAAGTCCTGTCGTAGCCATCGACCTCGAGCTCATCGCGCACTCCAAACGTAATCTATCTAACACTGTAATTTACTCCACTTCTATCGACTCGTGGGTGCGACACCAAATCGCGTACGCTGCTGGTCCTTCTCGACAGGCGCTTGGACGATGGCTCGGTAGGCATGAACTGTTTGGTCGTGGCATCCATCTCGTTCACTAAATTAATGATTCCTCCGCCACAACGACTAGGTTTGCCTTCGTTTTCTCGGACGCTTCCCCGGCAAGCACGTTGTGCTCTGCTCTCCTACGTCCTGAGTACAGCACCTTCCGCAGGCCCTACCGCCCCAGCATCAAACAAATCTCAACATGCACCTTCCATATTCCCTTCTGAAGACACGCCTTTGACGACGCCGTCGGCATCGCCAGGAGCGGAACAGCATCGGCGCCGTTCGAACACAGTACAAACGCAGAATGTTGGTGATGTCCCAACAACCATCACTCCTGTTCCAAGGTGCTGTTCGAAACGCTGCTAAGTCGAACGCCATACGTACATACATATTCGCCGCCATCATGACACCCACCACCGACGTGCTCAAGATCGCAGCATTCTCCTGCGGCAATGCCGGCGGCAACCCTGCCGGAGTGTGGATTGGAGCGGAGCTACCACCCGCTTTGGAGATGGCGCGAGTCGCTGCGCAAGTTGGGTTCTCGGAAACGGTGTTTGCTGCCCCGACTGGCGATGGTCCGACGTCTTGGCGTGTGCGGTACTTTTCTCCTGAGTCGGAGGTACCATTCTGCGGCCATGCTACGATTGCCCTTGGCGCGGCGTTGGCCCATCAGCACGGAGATGGCGTTTATACGTTGGCGTTGAACCATGCCACCATCACGGTGGAAGGACGGTCGACCAATGAAGGCAGCTGCGTCGCGCTGCAATCGCCCCCTACGCATAGCAAACTCGCCCCCATCGGTGTAGTGAACGATGCATTGGCTCTATTTGGCCTCAGCGATGACGATCTCGACAAAACGCTTCCACCAGGCCTGGCAAACGGAGGTGCAGACCACTTGATATTGGCCCTCCGCTCCCGGGCGGCGCTGGCTGCCATGAAGTACGACCTCGAATGCGGGCGTAAATTCATGAACGCCTTGGGCTTGGTCACGATTGTGCTTGTGTACGCCGAGTCGGCCCAGCGATTCCACACCCGCAACCCTTTTGCTTCTGGTGGCGTTTATGAAGATCCGGCGACTGGGGCCGCGACGGCCGCGCTGGCGGGGTACTTGCGGGATTTGAACTGGCCACACGGCGGTGCGATCGATATCCTTCAGGGTGACGATATGGGCGCTCCATCTCGCCTGCGAGCGGAATTCACGGACGTGCGTGGCAGCTCCATTCGGGTGTCTGGGACAGCGCGAATCATGACAGACGCTTAGCGGCCGTCCCGTGAATGTGCTACACGCGCATGTTTGAAAAAACTTAAGGTAGTGGCGAAGTGTTCCGCATGAATCGAGCATGTGCAAAGTTACGAGATGCTTTTCAGTTGTCGTGATCAGCTTAGTGTACTCGACAGAGAATTGAAACTCGAGCATTCATCCCTCTTTACATGAAACTACGCTCCACCGGTACATCGCGCAATGGACTTGTCGACTTCGTTTGCAACGTTTGCGGCGTCCCGCTTTACATCGATGTCCAACTTAGGGACGGAGACGTGGAGGTGGTGACCGATGACTGTGTTCACAATCATCACTCTGTGTGATGCCTCCAACCCGATGGTCATAGTCTCGAGTTTAAATTCCAATCTTGGCGATGTGTTCTTTCGCTTAAAAACTTGGCGTCCACAAGGAGTGCAGGAGGCTGAGCCTCCACTGAGGCGATCACTCTGTCGTCTCTCGACCACGTCGCGCTCCACTTTGGCGCGAAATTCGACGCTGTGACGTTGAATACCTTGTCATGCCCATGTAGGTATGAAGCCCGAGACTAGTGCTCGCGGACTCTTCATCATTCGTTCCGCTTGCTGTCCCATTCAACTCTGCACGAAGCACTTGGCCGGCACAGTTGGCAAGAAGTCAAGCCAGTGGCCTCCAGGTCGCCAAGATGCACTTCCCGCGATTTTATCCGGATGACTTCTTAATATCCGACATCTCGACTCCTTGGAATGGCAAGCGACACTGTCGTTCCAGCCGTCAACTCGGACGCACGAGCGGATGACGCCCCCGAGCACGGAGAAGCAGCTCTGGGCGGCGCGATGAGGAATGCCCTGCGCACGGCCGTCACACGCATCCGCCTCCAGAACCCGATTGTGGGGTCGTTTCCCCGAACGCCGAAAGTGCCGACGAAAGCTGTCGCAACTGCATCGGACAACCTCAGGTGGTCCCATCGTATCCAGGCGTTGTACAACTCACGTCATGGATGGCAGCTTCCTCATGGACGTCACGGGATACATGAAAGAAGCTAAGGAGCAAATTGCAGAGAAAACGTCGTCCAAAGCGAAAGCAGTCAAGCTTGTCCAGTGGGCCACCACGACATGGATGCCCAACCTCGTGCGGTCGACCATTTTGGGTGCTGTCCTTCATTCGCTTGTGCAGTTGGCAGCTGTGATGACCATTTCTTATAGGTAGCGTTACTTGGACCAGCTATGAAGTGACGACTGCCTCTCTACTTGCTACTTCACCTTCCACAATCGCATCGCCACACGTAGCGGTAATAATCACGTCCTCTCCTCTCTCTCAAGGCATCAAATGCGTTAGATCTTGGTGCCGTGGGTGTTTGGCGTGTCAATAGTGGCTGGTACGGTCGCTGGCTCCCTTCACGGGTCGCTTTGGTCTGTGTCCGAGAGAGCCATGGCTGCATTCAAGCACGAGCCGAGCGCTTTTCGCATACCCGGCGTCCTACTCAGCCACACGTTGACGCATTTGGCAATGTTTTCCAGCTATGAAGCCACCAAAGCATTTCTCATGCACGACATCGAGGGCGACCACACGGACATCGACGGCGCGTTGTGCATCGTTGGCGCTGCGGCAACGTCTGGCCTTGTCGGAGAAATCGCGACCTACTACGCCGCTCCTTTCGAGCAGCAATCGTTGTACGATGTCACGGCGGCGGCTGCGACTTGAGTTGCTAAGGGATGTTCTCGTAGCACGACTGCAATGCACGAACTTCGAACTCTTCCACTGCCGACGCTGCGATCCATGGCCCCGTCCGGCTTCTCCACCATGCTCGGTTCTCCTAGTCTGCTCCCTTCAGAGACTCACGCGCGCATAGGTTGGCTAGCCTATGAATACGCAAAAGAAACCTTCGACGGAACATCGGCCAACTCGTAGATGTTAACCACCCGCAAGTTCCCACGTTGAGGTGTTTTGCGCAGCACAGTTCGCTGACTTTGTCGACGTGTTTGGCACAGACTCGACCGACAAGTACTTGGATTAACGTTGATCACGTCATGAGTTCACTGACTTAGATTTTTATAGATCGTATTTATCTTTAGCAGATACTAGAGTGTGATGCGAAACGTTAGGACATACTAGTACCACGTTTCGTTGCAGAATTCATGATTTATTCGGAGTTATAAACTCCTGAAAGTATCGTTTTATTCGTGCTACAATCAGGAATGTATCAAATCCAATTGTGTAGAATTCCGCATACAGATTCAGAAGAAAATGCAAAATTACATTTTTGAACACGTGCAAAACAATAGGACACATTTGAAAATTTTCCCGCCCATCATCGATGGGCGGGAAAATTTTCACTTGCGGACCCCATTGCGTATGGCCAACGCCTCAGAGGAGGCCGCCCTTCAAGGTTGAGCCAAAGAGACGAGCGCCGATTTTCCTTACCATGGCAAAAGATCCCAAAAGTTGCGCAAAAGTTAAGCATGACCTTGAACTCCATGTCCACCGTACGACCATATCAAGGCTAATGAACTCGTCAAAAAGTTCGACTACATCAAGATGAACAAAAAGCACAAGCTCACAG